GGGGGAGGCAGGGAGAGAGAGGGAAAATCGCAGAGGCGTCATTTGGGAACACCGATCAGAGCTGAAATTTGTGCAGTGAGCTGGACCAGAGACGTGCCGGGTGGGACAATGATACAATGATATTCCGCAATGAAAATTTTCCCAGAATCTGCATTGTAAGTGCGGGTACTTACCTGATTATCACTTTTATTTATTCATTTTTTCAAATCGCGAAAACACATAAAGACTAAAAACTAAGTTTTTGGGGGCAGGCAGAGGGCGGTTACGAACACTATAAAGGGAGAAAACTTGCAAAACTCCTAAATCGACTTCATAAGGAAAGGGTTTTGAAATCTGAGTTAAATTTTAAATCAAGTGCAGACAAATTTTATTTCTGCAAAATCTTTTCAGGAAGCTTAACTTAGTCTTTCGGGCTGTTCAAAAGTCGACTGAATGAGAGAAACTTGAGCAAGCGACAAAAAGACAAATATCCAAACGAAAAAAAGAAATTAAGAGAAAGAAATCAAATGCAGTATAAATTTTGCAAAGTAACGGTGTGATCAGGCACAGGAAATTGAAATCAGTCCCTGCTACACGTGAACCATAATCGAATTGAGCTTACTTTGTTACTTATATTAAGAGTAACAAAGTAAGCTCTGTTCTGTTTTTCCAAAGTAGAAATCCAATATTCCAAGTATTCAGTTAGACAAGCGTAAATTTACGAAATAAAGTGACATTTTATAAATTTAAAAAATCTATTTCAAAGAAGACAAATTCTGAAGACTCTAGAGTATGCCAGACAGAAGACCCTTAGTGTGTAACCGCCTCTATGCACGACACATTTCTAATACCTGTTTTTAGTCAAAAAGATAGGAGCCTATCCCATTCAGCGCGAGATTAAACAAAAATAGAAAATGAAGAGCACACCAGGGAGGGATACTATCATATTAATATGAACAAATGAAAGGGGAAACATAAGGACAACACCAAAAGCTGAAGTAAGTAAAGAAAGATAAACACTGAACAATTGTTAAAAAGAAGAGATAAACACTGAACAATTGTTGAAAAGAAGAGAACAGTTTACGAATACAGTCGAACCTGCTCTAACGACCACTTGTACAAGACTATAACCTGTGATATTGAGCACTTCCCACTCCCCCCCCCCCTTGCGTTAAAAAAAAATTATAATGGACCTATTCAATAGGAACATCTGTCTATAAAGACTACATTTATCCAGGAAAATGAGCGATCGTTTTGGACCGGTTCGACCGTGTATACTTGCTTTACGTTAGGGGAAGACGAAAAAAGAACACAGAAGGCAATGAATAGAGCATGAAAGAAAAGATGTGTACGTACGTTCGGTGTACTCTCTTCTCGTGTTCAAGTTCCCGCATTGCATTGGGGAAAAATACGTTCACATTTTCAAATAGATAATGCTTTGAACTTTCTCTATAAATCGTGAATGACATTTTTTCACAAGAATTATAACACATATCACAAGTTTCACAAATCAAGTTATCGGTTGACAATAGACAAGCAGAATAGCTTGTAATATGGTAATATGGCAGATAATATGGTGTCACGCTGTAAACATCAAATCAGTAAAATCTAATGCTATTTTTTAAATTCTTTCTACTTCAAGTTACGAATACCCCGATCGAAAAACGACCAAAGACTAAACTATTGGATTACTGACTATAGAAAAACATTAACACTACTTCCTTAGCTTACTCTAAAGACGGTCGAATCGAACAATCGAGACTCAGTTATGAGTGAGAGGCCCTTTTATGATAGGTTGAAATAGAAAAACAATCAAAGTACGTGTATATAAACAATGTGTTTTAAACATAACCTAGGATTTCATCTAAATTTGAACTTGCGACTTTGGCCATTTCTTTCTGGCTTTAATCAATGAACTAGCTCTATTCTTTTTACATTCAGACACGCCGTCATGTCTCTCCGTATTGTTGTCCCATTTTCTTTGATTTGTGCCATACGGAGTATGTTTGTTTGTTTGAATGATTGTTTGTTTGATTGTATGTTTGTTTCTTCGTTCGTTTGCTTTTTTGTTTGTTTGGTTTGGTTTGTTTTGTTTGTTTGTTTTGTTTTGTTTTGTATTTTTAACATTATGTTCTATTGTTATTTTGTCTTGTTAATTTCCAAATTTTCCGTACACGATCTTTTCAATCAAATATTGTTTTCAAAACTATCTGTTTACCTCACATTAGAACAACAATTTTAAATCAAAACAAAGTTTTAAAAATACTCTTCTTAGTGAGAGTGGAGCCTCGTGCCCATAAAGTTGCTTACCTGGACCAGCACTCTTTGGCGGAGCAGGTGTGAACATCATCCTCTTGTTCTTGTCCGCCTGGGACATGGCCGTGTTCGGCAGTGTGTCGGGGACCACCTGGTCGAGAGCAAAGGGTGAAAGGCCATATGGTCGCTTTTAAGCTCAGGCGGCTATCCTAAACCTCCCCCCCCCCCCCCCCCCCGCTGTTTTGAGAAAATCGAAGATAAAGATTTTGCCCCTCATCAGTTTCTTTAAAAAAGAAGGAGAGTTTTCTCCAAAGAAACAAAACTTTTCCTATAGATAGGACAATGTCCACTTTTAGTATAGTCAAGAATTCTGGAAACCCCCCAAGTCTGGGTCAGCACGCTTGTCCTTAAAATCGACTATATAGAGTTTCAGGTCTTTAGGTTTCTACTATTAACGTGTTGTTGTTTTTTAAAATTTTATAGTTAGACGTTTATCAGCATTTGGGAGAGGAACAGGTGGGGTGGGGGTGGGGACATAAAGAGAGAGTGGGCGGGGGCATAAAGAGACAGTGGGCGTGGTGCAGAATGTAAAAAAAAAAGTAACTGTGCGTTACTCCTT